TAAGATAATAAATACCTTATGATTATTATAATTACTTATACACTTAATCCCAAAATATTTAATTGTCGCGTGCATATAATATTTGTCATTTTAATTCATCAAAGAGTGAGATTCATATTAAGTTAACAAGCTCGGTGAATTGGGAGACAATATTATTTGTATGGTGAAAATTAATTATTAAAGAAAACCACGTCCTAGTATTTAAATGGGTTGATGACGTCCTCTTGAGAAAACTCATAAGTTTTATCTACGTCAAACCTTGCAGGTGAATTTAATTATCCGACATGACAAATAAGTTGAGTAGTAAGGTCTTAAGGAGTAAAATAAGTCAATTAAATATAATTATTAGTAATTTATTTTATTGATAAACATCTGTAATTTTAAATGTTGAGAGATTATTAAGCATATATTAATAAGGAGTTCGAATATAATTTTGAGATAAGACTCATGAGATCAATAATAAGTTTTTAGTTGACTGATTTATTATTAATGGACTGCAGGATGTTTGTTCTGGTTTGAACACAGAAATTCTAAGCCCATTGAAAGTTCGATCCTTATTTCTCCTTAGAATTTTTGTCTTAGCCTATATATAGACATCTAGGCTCTCTAAATCAACATCTATTCTTTACTCACGTTTTTTAGAGAGAGGTTGAAAGAAAGAGCAAAAGTTCAGAGGTTCTGGTAGCCCACAATGTTTTCGAATTTTAACGTTGTGGGATATACGACAGAAGACCACAAGTTTCGTCTAGCTGTCTTCCACTTTTTTTGTTAGGTTATGTGTTTGTGCTAAGAGGAAATCAACCCAGAGCGATCTCGAAGGTAAACCCTAATTCCACCTTGTAGGGTTTTAAAGAAAAATTTTTGGTATTCGATACATACGTGCTGTCAATGATTCTTGAGATTTCTGTTTCAACATCAACAACTCGAAGATAACGACCTAGGTCGTTGGGAGGAAGTTCTGCCTCCATAAGCGGAACCATCAATGTGGTAAATCTTGTGGTCGGGTAATAGCTTTTGGAGACCATGTAGTTGCTGGTGAGTCAAAACTAGCAAATTCTTTAACTGATGCTCGCCTTAGGAGGCATCGTCCCCCAGCAGACAAAAGGAGTCACACTCTTTCTGATAAGAGAGGTTCCATTCCCTATCCCCTTTGGGTGCCCCAAGCATGGCCCACATTGTCACAGTGCCCTATGCAACAACTAGGCGCCCCTCGTCAAGGTATCCCACCTCAGTGCCCAGGCACCTCACAAGCTCTACCTCCTCATGTTCCTACTCCGCAAGCTACCAATAATCCTGGGTAGGAGGATGAGAGGGAGAACCAATATGCGGATCATGAGAGTTACTATAATGATCCAATAGAGGGTGTCCCTAACTAATGGAACGAAAAGATTAAAGAGGTGCAAAACCAGCTTGGCGATGCCCTTAATGCTATCAAGGCACAAACACCTGAAACAGTGGACTACTTGGTAAGCCGCACTGACACTTTATTTGTGGCGGATGTTGTCAACTACCCCTACCTTCGAAAATCAAGATGTCTGCCATTGAGATTTTTAATGGCACTAAGGACCCCCTTGATAATCTTGACACATAAATCTCTCATGTAACTCCATAATGTGTCTGATGAGATCATGTGCAGAGCTTTTCCTACAACCCTCAAAGGATCTGCACGCTAGTGGTTCTCCAAGTTCAAGCCTTTTTCCATCCACTCCTTTATGGAGTTAAGCAAGTCTTTTGTCTCCCACTTCACTGGGAAGCCGACATCAGAAGTCAGTTATCCACTTGCCCACCCTCAAGCAAGATCGGGAGAAAAGTCTAAGGAGTTACTTCGCTAGTTTTAACGATGAGGCACTCTAGACAGAGGAACCAGATGACAAAGTGACCATGATCGCCTTTATTTAAAGTTCACGTTCGTTGAGCTCTGTTTTCTGTTTTGAAAAAACCACCAACAAGCATGCTCGAGCTATTATCTAGGGCAAAAAAGTATATGAACGCCGAGGACATCACTAAGGCCAAGTGAGAGAAAGAAAAGAAAAGACACCCATAAGGATAGAAGAGAAGTAGAAAGTAAGAAAAATAGGATGAAAAGAGTGTCTATCAAGGACCGCCTCGGTTTCGCACCCTTCAAAATGCAATAAGTGATTACGCCACTCAATGCAATGGTTGAACATACCTTATTCCAAATTCAAGATGATCCTATAATACGTTGGCCAAAAAAAATAAAGTCTGCTCCAAATTGTAGAAACCCAAGCAAGTACTACTGTTTCCACCACGACCACGATACTGATGAATGCTTTGATCACAAAAGGCAGATCGAGGAACTTATACAATGTGGACAATTGCGACAGTACATTGTTGGTAGAGGACAAGCCCTGTCACTTGACAAAAATCAGGATGACAGAGAGCGCCAACAGCCCCTCGGAGAGATCCAGATGATCTCTGAAGAGTTTAGATGATGATGTGACTCTAACTCTGCCAAGAAGGAGCACGTTAGGATAGCCAGACAGGCAAAGTCAAGTGGTCCTCGCCCGATGAAGAAGCTTCGACGTGGAGAAGAGAAGATCATCTCATTTTTAGACAAGGACCTCAAACGGATTTAACACCCTCATGATGACCCTCTAGTGTTAACCATGATGGTAGCCAACTACCAAGTTAAGAGAATTCTAGTAGATAGCGGTAGCTCTCTGTCGACATCCTGTTTGCATTAGCCTATAACAGTCTTCATCTAGCCAGGGAAGACTGTAGCTCATTAGAACGCCTCTCATCAGATTTTCGGGTGAGAGGGTTTATCCTTTGGGTTCCATCACCCTGCCAGTTACAATAGGTACAGAACCAAGACGCTCCACCATCATGGTAAACTTTATAGTGCTAGACTGACCTTCTGCCTACAACATCATACTTGGACACCCAGCACTTAACACCTTAAGGGCAGCATCATCTACTCATCACCTTGTTCTTCGTTTCCCAACCCTTTGTGGAATCGGAGAAGTTAGAGGAGACCAAGTTATGACCAGAGAATGTTATGTGGCCTCTATGAGGACCAAAAAATCCTAGAAGGCCCTCTGAGTGGAAATGCTCGACCCTAAGGATGACAACACACTGAAAATGGGAAAGCCTTGGCCCACCTATGGGACGTCGAACACCTGAAGAGCTATTATCAATAGAGGGTACAAGCCGGTGGCTCTCATTTTATTTGGCATTTATTGTTTCAGTTGATTTATTTTGTTATTTATTATGTTATGAAATAAAACTTTGCCAAGATTATTGTGTCCAGAATTGTCTTTCTTTCATTCCATAAAGATTTAAACAACTCAAAAAAGTTAGAACATGACTTAACAACAAGGTAGACAAAAAGATAAAAGTTGCCATACTCCTAACTATCACTCACTGCTCCCCGATCCGTTCTCATCAAGGCTCTCCCCGTCACCATCTTTCCCTAGGGCCTCATATGAGACGAAGGCATAGAAATCAATGGCAGGGAAAACTACTAAGGCTTTTCCCCTAAACTCTTTATAACCATCAATAAAGACATTTACAACGGCCCTCTCAGTAGCCTCCCTCCTCATCTCCATCTCAATGGAATGAACCTCTGCCACGACAGCCTTCTCTCGAGCTATACGTTGCTTAGCCTCAGCTCATGTGGCCCTGTTGTGGGACGCTCGCAACTCTAACTCTGGTCTCGTGCAGATAGTCTCCTTATCAATCTCCAGCTTAAAGCCTCTCTCGCGAGTCGCCAAAAAATTCGGCCTAATCCTATATTTGCTCCAAAGTAGTCTATGTCTCCAACTTGGCGCCTCTCTTGCGAGTCGCTAGAAAGGTTGGTCTAATCCTATCTTTGCTATCAAGCAACCTCAATCTCTAGCTTAACACACCCCTCATGAGTTGCCAAAAGTTAGGTCTGAAGAGGTGTTATTCTCTTATGAGCCAACCTCAACTGCTTCTTAGCAGCCTCTCTTTTGCCAGATCCTTGGATACCTCTCCATGCTTGATTATTCTTGAATAAAGGCAGGGAAAAGCTGTAGTAACCTATAAGCATTAAAAAAGTAGAACATTAAGTAAAATAGGTGGGTAAAAAAATAAAGTTAAGTAGAAAAGCATACCATAGCAAACCCCTCCATCGCAGTATTGATAATGCCTTCTAAATGTCAAGAGCCAATCTCTCTAATATCCGTGGCAGTCACAAACCCCCAAAGTCGCTCCTTAGCCAAATTCTCATCCTCCAACATGAAACTGAACCACAACGTGGAGCTCCAATCCCGATGGAAGGCAGCACAAGAGTCTCAACTTCTAAAGTAGTGGCCGAACAAATCCTAACACTCGAAGTAGTTGTGTACTGATAAAGAGTGGGGGCACTCTCTGATCTAACCTCCTGGGATATAGCATGACCCTCTGACCGTAGAGAGACACTAGGGGCATTGCCCTTCTTCCTCTTAGGAGGAGGGGAAGACACCACCTTAGAAGCATAGATAGTCTCCACTATCGCTCTATTAAAAGGGGCGCCTGTAATCAGAGACAAGGTTAATATAAGTAACTTGCATTGAGAAAACATTAAGAAGAAAATAGAATTGAAGAAAGCAGGTTTGCCTCCTACCTAGTCGAAAGCCATCATAGTATCCCTCTCTTGCAAAATCCAGAACACCAACCCACCGCCCATGGACGCCTGCCTGCCAGAGCCCAACTTCCCACCGTTGTTGGTTTCACTAATTTATGTTTAAAACTCAAATTCAGATAGAAAGAAACAATTTTTTGGAAAATTTAGTGCTCAAACTGCCTACGACTATTTGACATTGGTAGATCTTGAAAAAAATACCTAAATTCAAAAAAAAAAATATCTTAAATGGATAACTAAGCGAAAAGTTATGGTTGTTTAAAGTTTTGCCTTTTTTTTTTAATGATTTTCTAATCCTCTAGTCAGTGCCCCAGCACCAACGTTTGCTACCTTCTCCTGGCTTTGCCCAGGCCTCCCTAGCATCGCTCAGACCACCTATGTCCCATAGCGTCGCCTAGGCCTCCCTGACATCGCCAAGACCAACCCTGGCGTCGCCTAAACCAGCACCAGTTCCAGCCAGCACCAACCAGAACTGGCGTCGCCTGTTTGTGCCACCTCTACGCTTGCAAGGTGTCGCCCCTTTTATCTGCGCCACCTCTATGCTTGCAAGATGTTGCCCCTCTTGCCTTCCAGTGCCATCTGCTTGGGTTGATTCTGAGGTCTTCATAGCTGGACTAATGCTACCAAAACCCTTGGAGACAAGACCAGCATCTCCCGAGCCCAAGTTGTTGTTGCCCATCATCGTCATAGCGCTGCCTAGAGTGTTGGTGCTGCCCAGCAGCTCGCTAGCGTCACCTAGTTTCTGGGCCGATGTGCTGGTACTATCTAGTGCTTCCACTTTGCCATCTCTGCCTCTTAACTTTAGCACTGCCGTAGAGAGTCTCATTCAAATCGAGGAAGCCCAGCACGTTGGCGTCGCCCAACAACTAGTTCAATGTGTTAGTGCCATTTAGATCCCCTTCATCTGCACAGAAGGTGTCGCCAACTGCCATGGCACCATAGGGCTTGCATCTGTTACTCTATTCTCTCTTAAGCGTTGGCGTCGCCTCTGGCTCAGCTATAGCGTTGCCTAATGCCTCGTCTGGCTTCGCCAGGTCTCGCCCAAACGTCAATTAAGATGGGCCTTAGTATTTGTGATCTCGCCGTAGCATCTACAGTTGCCTTGCTCGATCCCGTCTACCTCCCTCTAGTCTCCATAGTTTACTTTACCTTGCATTCAATAAGGGTGAGGGAAAGGGGGAGTATTTAAGCCCAATCAGGAGGTAATAAAAAGGAATAGTTGTTGGGTTTATCTATATTTTCCTTTAGAAGCCCTAGAAAGATGATTCTCTATTAGGAAGAGGAAGAAAGGATATTGGTAATTTGAATGGGTACCTCTAGCAATGGTGATACTAAGTGAGGAAAGAATTTTTGTAGACATAAATGAGAAGCTAAATACTACTATGGGAAACAAGGAACCCATATCTATCCAGAGGCTCACTCATGCCCTCAACCCCTTTTGTTACAATTAGGGCTTGAGGCATAGGGAGCAAATGACGAGCCTAGATCTAACTGGGTTAGGCTTGATTGATGAGATAAACCCAATATGGCTATAAAGCAGGTCAAACCCAGCTCAAGGATTTGACCCGGTCTAAGGTTTAGGAAGTCTAGGAAGATCACCGCATGTGGGGAGTAATTATCGGGATACCCACCTCGAAGATCAAGACTATCTCTAATTATACCTATCATAGTTGTAGGTATCCTCCCCGAAAAACTAGTAACCTACCTATCACGTCATCGCCTTAACCAAGACTTTGTGCCTATAAATTACAACCCCTCTACACATGAGAGACACACTTTTTACACACCTCTACATCCCACACACAACTATATGTCTCATAGCTACCCAACTTCTTCCAGTGCATACATTTGCTCTCTCTCTCTCTCTCCTCTTCTCACTTTCTACTTTATTAATAAAGTTCTCCGACCACAATCTCTATCTGCAGGGTGGAGTAGATCACTCTGACCAAATCATTATATATCTGATGTTGATCCAATCTTTGTCTCCTTTATTAATTACTCTGAATTATACACTCAACTGTTGATTGTGCATAAATCTACTTTTATGTATTATCAACATATGTTTGGATTGGTTATTATCAAACCAATCTAATCCTAACTAGTGAAGCTCATGAAATGGCCCCTAAATGCCTACGGTCCTATTTAGAGAATAGTAATCTTAATTAAGAATCAATATGTAGTGTTTAATCGCTTCAATAATTTAATAATCATTGCATATTTAGAGTTTAATTGTTCTCAATAATCTAGTATGAGAATTTCTATCGAGGCCATGTTTATCTTTATGAATAAACTTAATTCTAGAAAAGAACTTAATTATAAGAAGATAATTTGATTATAGGAAAAGAAAGGAACTTGGTTTTTGAATTTTTTTTTTTTTTTTNTGCCTAATGCCTCGTCTGGCTTCGCCAGGTCTCGCCCAAACGTCAATTAAGATGGGCCTTAGTATTTGTGATCTCGCCGTAGCATCTACAGTTGCCTTGCTCGATCCCGTCTACCTCCCTCTAGTCTCCATAGTTTACTTTACCTTGCATTCAATAAGGGTGAGGGAAAGGGGGAGTATTTAAGCCCAATCAGGAGGTAATAAAAAGGAATAGTTGTTGGGTTTATCTATATTTTCCTTTAGAAGCCCTAGAAAGATGATTCTCTATTAGGAAGAGGAAGAAAGGATATTGGTAATTTGAATGGGTACCTCTAGCAATGGTGATACTAAGTGAGGAAAGAATTTTTGTAGACATAAATGAGAAGCTAAATACTACTATGGGAAACAAGGAACCCATATCTATCCAGAGGCTCACTCATGCCCTCAACCCCTTTTGTTACAATTAGGGCTTGAGGCATAGGGAGCAAATGACGAGCCTAGATCTAACTGGGTTAGGCTTGATTGATGAGATAAACCCAATATGGCTATAAAGCAGGTCAAACCCAGCTCAAGGATTTGACCCGGTCTAAGGTTTAGGAAGTCTAGGAAGATCACCGCATGTGGGGAGTAATTATCGGGATACCCACCTCGAAGATCAAGACTATCTCTAATTATACCTATCATAGTTGTAGGTATCCTCCCCGAAAAACTAGTAACCTACCTATCACGTCATCGCCTTAACCAAGACTTTGTGCCTATAAATTACAACCCCTCTACACATGAGAGACACACTTTTTACACACCTCTACATCCCACACACAACTATATGTCTCATAGCTACCCAACTTCTTCCAGTGCATACATTTGCTCTCTCTCTCTCTCTCCTCTTCTCACTTTCTACTTTATTAATAAAGTTCTCCGACCACAATCTCTATCTGCAGGGTGGAGTAGATCACTCTGACCAAATCATTATATATCTGATGTTGATCCAATCTTTGTCTCCTTTATTAATTACTCTGAATTATACACTCAACTGTTGATTGTGCATAAATCTACTTTTATGTATTATCAACATATGTTTGGATTGGTTATTATCAAACCAATCTAATCCTAACTAGTGAAGCTCATGAAATGGCCCCTAAATGCCTACGGTCCTATTTAGAGAATAGTAATCTTAATTAAGAATCAATATGTAGTGTTTAATCGCTTCAATAATTTAATAATCATTGCATATTTAGAGTTTAATTGTTCTCAATAATCTAGTATGAGAATTTCTATCGAGGCCATGTTTATCTTTATGAATAAACTTAATTCTAGAAAAGAACTTAATTATAAGAAGATAATTTGATTATAGGAAAAGAAAGGAACTTGGTTTTTGAATTTTTTTTTTTTTTTTGGAAATATCCAATCAATGGGTATAAGATTTCCATCATTGAACCCAAGTTTAGGAGACCCAATATCATTGGGCAGTTGAAGATAATAATAACCTTATTTCCAATTTGGACTACCTATTAATTAATTATCCAAACATAATAGTTTTTTTGATTTGGGGTTGTTTGATAAAATTGAATTTTTAAAGTACTTAATGAATTAAATCTGTTTGATAATCTAAAACTCATACCACTTAATATTTGAAGCACTTTTTAAAAATATGCTAAAATTTTAAGTAACAAGCCACCTACTTATTACTTAATACTGAAAATTTTAGTTAGTAAGAATTTGATCAATTTTTCATAATAGACAAATATACTCTCAATATATTTTAGACTTTTATCTTTTCAATACCCACCACCACCACTACCAGCACCATCATTGTGTCATCGCCCCGACCACCATTGTGCAACCACCAACACCATCTTTGTGTTGCCGTCACTACTATCATTATGTCACCACTACAATTATGCCACCGCCATCACCACAATTATTGTGCCATCGCTACCACCACCTTATGCTACCATCACCGCCACAACCACTATTGTGATGGTGGTGATAGGAATAAAATAGTTGCAGAGAGATGATTAAAAAGAATGACAAAATTAAAATAATAATAATTTTCAAACTTCACATTATATTTGTCAAACAGTTTGATCAATTTAATATTTAAATTTCAGTTGATATCAAACAGGTTACAAATTAAAAATTTCAACATTCAATACTTAAAATTTAGCATTTAATTTTTAATATTTAGTTTTGAATGTTATCAAACACCACCATCACAATTCTCATTCCCAACCAAAATTCTTCTGTTCAAACAAGGCCTACGTGTTTGTTAGAGTCAAAGTCAAAACACAAAGTCGGGGTATATTTTGTCACTTATTAATCATAGACGACAAATGTAAATAATATCTCGAGTTAATAACATCTAAAGTTCTTTCAACGGATACACAAGTTGCAAGTAAACTCATAGCTTAATCACATACCATCTGCTTTTCATAGGAAAACCCAAGTGCCTTCTGTCTGTACCAGCAACCTTATTGTCTTAATAAAGAAATATATGAGTTCTAGTTGTCTTTTGCTAGTAGTATTTCAGAGTGAGAGGGAGAGAGAACAAAAGACAACAACTAGATGAAGATCGACTGTTGGTGGTTGCATAAGGATAGGATTGCAGTAGAGCTTTACAAATGAAATTAACATCTTTCCATGACTTCGATTTAGAACAATACCATTAAAATACATTTTATTGGTTTGGTCTCTTAACTTGTATGAAAACTCAACTGCCTTCCAAATATTTGGGCTTAAGCCTATCAGTGGATCAGATTTTAATTCGGATTCAATTAATCGAATATAAATTGATATTGTTTATTAATAATTTGAACCCCAATCCATTATTTTATACTTCACGGATTCGAATTTGAATGTATCTATATGTGATCTAATTATGATCTGATTTGATATATATATATACACACACTAGTCATTGCCCGTGCCTGAAGACACTATGTAACACAAAAAAATTGCAAACAATTACCCATATGAACAAAAATATACCCTTGATCATATTTTTCATAGTAATGAAACTATCATAAAAATGTATAAAAAACTCTCCAAAATAACATCACATATACAAATACCTCAAAACAACACTACCTCTAATTTATCACCATTATCACCATTAAACCCAATAACACACCTTAATTATAAATTCAATTACTAAATTTTCAATCCAACCCATGTAATAAATACATCAAGCAAAAACAAATAAATACTAACAGAACTTAATTAAATTCATAATTTTTATGCAATAAACAAAATCAACCAAATTTTGCGCATTTATAAAACTAATGAATTTATCACCACTATTCACTATTCAACCCCAATAACAATATAATTATAAATTCAATCACAAAATGTTCAATCCCCCCATGTAAATATACACAAAAACACACCAACATACATTTCTTTTTTGGTTACTGACAAACCCTCCTAATTAACAATTGCTATAGTTAGAAATATAATAATTCAAGCTTTTAAGATAAAATATAGTCTAATTAAAAAGTAATGTTACAAAATCATCAAAATACCTCATAATTCTTGTCTAGTTAAACATCTAGAATGATGAAAATTCACCCACACAATCCTGAAAAGGTAATAAAAAAAATATCAAATTTTACACCACATAATATTCGCTTACCCACACCCACACTGCCAACCATATATAGCAAAACTCAGAAAATATGACAAATGAATAAAACATAATTAATACCAATTGTCTGTTGAATTTGCAAGAAGGATGAAAATACCCCACAACCCAATAATATAAATATCAAATTCCACACTCATACGACCCCTCTCCCACCACATTAGTACTTACATATAAGAGAAGAATGAAAACTCATACGAGGTTATGTGGCAGTGGCGGTGGTGTGTACATGAATGAGAGCGAGAGAGAGAGAGGTGAAGAGGCAAGGGTAATAGAAAAACGATTCTGAGAGAGTTGTATCAGAGAGGTATATGAGAGAGAATGAGAGATAGAGATGTGTGATTTATGAGAGTTAGACGAGAGATAGAAGTCTTAAAGAAATTTTGCATGAGTACTGTCAGATCAATAATCTCCTCAAATGATCTGAGTCACAAAAACCTCAAAACAAATAATCTAGCTAGAAATTAAGTGCTTATTTAAAAAAAATTAATTGATCATTAGACGTAGTTTGTTAAATTTTGGTTAAATTAAGTTATTTAGATCGTATCAAATTTTTGGATCGGGTTTCAAATTGTTAACGGGGTTAGAATATGGACCATAAAAAAAAAATCCGTCAAATAATCAGATCAGACTTTTAAATTCAAATTGGGGTCAATCAAAATCTAATCTGTTCATATGCTTACAAAGACTTTAAGTTAAGCCAAAAAAAAAAAAGCAGAAAAACATATTCACAACTTATCACTTCATCTGATGATCAGGAGAAAAAACAAGGGCTTTTTCTGAATGCCAATCCTCCCCCTGACCATTGGAGTTGTTTTTGTTACACCGGCTGAGCTTGGATTGGATTGGATTGGATTGCATTTCTTTATCCCAACAGCTTGGTTTTTACCCACGGATTCATAACATTGTTTATCCACACCAATGTCTGTAAAGTATATAAATGCCACCTGTGGGAACGTTCCTATCAAATCCTCTATAATTATTTTTTATTACTTAATTGACCAAATTATCCATAAATTGAGGTCAGAGGTGTCATTTGACCCACAAATCCACACTATCTTGGTCTGAAACTTACCCTCACGTGTTTCAGGAGTATTCAAGTCAGTTTACGTTCATTTCGATTAATTTCTTTTTCAGTCGAGTTAAAAACAGATCACTTCTATACCGAAACTAAAATATCCATGAGAAATAAATAATTTCAATTAATATATTAATCTGCTGTCCCATCAGCTGGTTCAAGGAGTTGAAAATACTATCCAATGTCCAAACTTGTCCTTTGGTTCAAACTCACCCCTAAGAGCAAATATAAAGAAAGACAAAGCAATTCAAAACTTGGGCTTGCAATAAATCGTTATAAATGGCAAACTTTAGTCTAAACAATTTTTTCTTTTTTTTGGTAAGAATGAAAAGAGTTCAAGGAGACAACGAATCTAAACAGTTATTCATTTGTACTTTGTTATTGACATAATTTGGACTAGAAAAAGGATAAATAAACACCAAAAATCCTAATGATAGCACCACTAGATTCATAAAAAAGAAAAAAGAAAAAGAAAAAAGAAAGTGACTACCAGTGAATACAGAATTTTGTAGAAATGAGATCAATTTCCCCAAGTAGCATCCGAAAGAGGTTTCCCAGAAAGGAAGTACGAGATTAGTGTAAGAGCTCTTGTAGGCTGGTAACTTGGAACTTGATGTCCTGCCCCTCTTACTGTGGCAAATGTTAAGTCTCCTTTATACACTTGTGTGTACCCACCAACCTACATTACAACACCAAAAAAGAGAAAAAAAAAAAAAATTAAAGCAATTGAAAAGTTTTGGTAATATTAAGGTTTGGTTTGTAATTTAGGATTTGTTTGGTGCATAAAATTCTATTTGATGTCTATGGCCATCTCCGGTCTCTACTAAAATATTTTCTTAAATTTGAGTTTACATTTGAATAAAAAGCTTGAATTGATATAAATACTATATACTTTGTTATATAAAATATTAATGGGGTCTCATTCAAAATTTCATCTAGTGTCTCACTAAATGTCGGGCTGCCTCGAATATTAGCATGTCATCATCGACATGTGATATTACCAACCTAATCTTGTTTAACATATAAGACAATTGAACTTTACATTTCAATAACCGTCAATAATTGTAACATTTAGAACTTCCACATTGGATAAAGAAGGGTTTACTAGTTTAGTTTGGTATGCTATGATTAATTAGTAATACTACATGATTATTATGTCACCACTGTATTGAATATTTCCTCGACTAATAGGGGCATACAAGAAAATGATGAAGAAATAATTAAAAAGTGTTAGGTAAATGAGAAACTGATTGCTAAGTAGAAATTAATTACCTGTGTATTGAGGTACCAAGGCTGCCATGGAGATTTCACAGAAAGCTTCATCTTGTTAATGGAATACTTGGTTGAAGTCACTGGTACCCTTCCATCTATGTCCCCACTGCATTCCAAAAGTTTATAGAATCAGATGTAATATAATCTACCTACCTCCAAGCCACATCATCGAGTTAGCTGAAACTTTACAAACTCTAGGTATTATACGACTGAGTTATATCCTTCGTGGTAACTCGGGGGTTGAGTGTCATGGTAATAATTGTTTGATCTTTTATATTTTTCTTTTAAAAAATGAGACATTCCATATGGTGGTCCAGCATTATAAATTTCCATTTGTAACTAACTAGCTATGAACATAATGTTGAACTTGAGTATGCTCAAGTGAAGGACTCATTAGGTGAGGTCCATCATGGCATCATTGACAGTGTGAAACACAAGGAAAGAACAATAAATGTATGGGGCCTCTATTGCTTGAGTATTGAAAGCTAATTTCTAAGAGTAATAATCATAGTTAATGATGAGAACAAGGAGAGAAAGAAGTGTGGCTTTTTTTACCTAAATATCCAAACTCGAAGGCCATTCTCCATGAACTCTCTTAGGAGTGGAATCATTGTTGATGGGCTGTCTTCCCAAGTTTGTATAACATCACTGCAAATTTGTATCAACTAAGATCAATGTCAAATATTTATGCACATTTTTGCACTACGTGTGTATGTGAGTGAGATAGACGAGGCCAAAAATTAAGTCCTAGAGTGGACGCGCCCGTAAATTCTAATCCGTGTGTATAAATAGATGTAAAATAGCCCTATTTTTTTATCAGGAATGTTTGGGTCAGTTTATGTGTAACTCAACTAATCCTCTTTTCGATCTAATCAAAAACAGACCTTGCACATAGAGAATAGAGTATTTATGAGGGATAAATACCTCATGATCTAACACTAAGGAATTGTCAGGATTCAAATTCAAGACGTTTTGATTTACAGTTCGTTCATATTATCACTTGATCTATTTCTTGGGGTGTGAAATAGCCTTTGTGTGTGTGTGAAGAGAGAGAGAGAGAGAGAGAGAACCTGCATGGTTCCCAATCATAATTCAGTTTGGTGACATTGGCATGTAGGGCTTTTTGAACATCAGGCCGATTAAGATAAGCATACACGTAATTGTCACTGCATGGATCAAAAAATCTTACCTGCATCAAAAAATAATACTTGTGTTAAAGAGTATATAAATCAAACAACTGATGTAAATTTGGTAACCTACACAAAACCTATCAATGTAGTTTGACCCAAAAGAAAGTTTTTCTCTTTAAGAGTATGTAAAGGTTTTCTATTTTCTTCTTAATTGCACTATTTTTAATCTTACATCACGACTTTAATAGATTAATTGATTTCAAATCACTTCAATTCCCGAAAAAAGTTTAATATTGGATGAAAAAAGAGTTGCGCCTGACGCATTGACCTATTTGAGAGGGAGAACATGTCATGTACCCTCAACACTATATAATAAATAGTATTTTTCAAACTTTTTCAGAACTCCACCACCAACCCCCCCACCCCACCCAAAAGATCTATTTGTAGAATAATAATTTGCAAGAACTTTGCAACTTACTGAAGCCTTCTTGGGCATGGCAGTGAGATTGGGGTTAGAGCATAAAGGAGCATAGATGTTGTAGATATCAATTGGAAAAACATTGAGGTTAGCTTCATTAGCAGCGTTATTGCACTGATCGGACTCTGAGGGGGCATTGGGTGAGAAATCACAGTATTTGTTAATTTGATGCGAAGTTTCATCTGAGATGAGAGCATGAGATGCAAAGTAGTCGTACATTCCTTGATTATCAGTCTCGTCATTGATCACAGCATTCCCGATCTGCAAAGTGTACAAGAGAGTCAAGAGGGAGTTAGAATTTTTATTCGACTAGATCAACTAATAGTAATGGAAGTGCAACATTTTAAGTCAAAATAATAATAAAAAAAAAAAACCCAACTACCTCGCAATAACTATAACTCAATATTTATGTTGTATAAAATTTACTCCATTAACAAATAAATTGAAATTCTAAAAAAATTAATAACTAACTTGTAATGCAAACAAATAACTCTCCACTCTTCCTCCATTTAAATTTCAAATGAAATTTATCTTGTCCATTTAAAATTTTATTACTGGTTGATAATATCATGTCAATGATGACGATATGATGTCATCGCTACATTCAATATTTACTCGTACAGAGAAAATATTCATGAAGTACTCAACTCTTAGGTTCTCATTACGTGGAATCTAACATCAACTCAATCCAAGGGATTTTTACGTGGGATTCAATCATACACCTATTTCAATCTCATATTTGGTAAATGACATAAATATATGTGGCGTACATGGATTCATATTAAATTATATTACTCAATTTACTAAAATGTTCATTATTAGGTGAATTGAAGAATATATTTTTGAGTAAAATAGTATTTTTATCTTCAAATCCAATTTTTCACTTTTGAATCTCATTCCCTCCCCCATAGGTTTCATCAAACCCTCATATTTGACTTTTAATGCACTATTTATTGTGGGCCGGAATATGTATCATGAATTGAAAAGTCTTAACTAAAGATGAAATTACGTGGTCTATTAGATTATTTTTTTTAAAGCCCCATTCCAAACCCGCCAAAATCCGATAAACAAAATTAATGTACAAACGTAATGAAAAGTGTAGCACTTTTCTTAAGAATTAATGTACTGTTTTGTAAAAAAAAAAATGTACTGTTTTGTAACATTTTCTTCAAACCTTCTATTCAATTAAAAAAAATTCTCCAAAAAATAATAGTATGTTTTACTATTATTTTTCTTAATTCCGTTTTTCAGTTTTTTAAAGGAGGCGATTTTATTTATAAAAAAAAAAGAAATAAATCCTAAATATGATATAAGGGTAGTTTGGGCATTTGCTCTACACATGTTGATGATGTCAGCAAAAATATAGTTGATCAAATAATGGCAATGGCATAGTGGGGTCGACTGTAGTTTGTAAATAGGCTTGACAACTCAAGACTCAGCCCAGCCCAAACCTAGTGGGTCTAGTTTTGCTGTAAGTTGTAACATTATGACTTATAATAGTTTTCAGCCAACCTCAATTATTTCCCCATGTTGGAAGGATAAAGACAAATCTAATTATCTGGTTTTCAGTCTACCAAAAAGTATAAAAATGATTAAAAATCTCTAAATCATGTTATGTCAAAGTTGCCAACCATGAGTGTGTCTGTTGTGATTGAGTGTGTGTGTGTGTGAGAGAGAGAGAGTGAGAGACTTACAATGATCCCTTTAAGGTTGATGAGACTGGTATTTGCTTTTTTGTTATGGTGGAGAATAGTATGAGCAAGTTCTGGTACGTAATGCCCCGCATAGCTCTCACCGGAAATGTAAAAGTCTCTTTTTTTATATTCAGGGAACCTTTCAAGCCAATTCAACAAGAAAACATAATTATCTGCAGCTGTTCTTTTATCTCCGCCCTTCTCATAATCCGACGTTGTGTTGGAGTACGAAAACCCTACTCCAGCTGGTGACTCCAAGAACAAAACATTTGCAGCTGAGAACATCCAAAATATTTGATAAGAAAATCTACATATATTTAGAGAATAAGTTCTCAAACTAAAAACCAAAGGGGAGTGGCGCCCCCGGGGGATAGAGAGAGAGAGAATAATATATACCATGGTTCCATGCAAATCTATTTTTGAAGAGGGTTTTCCCATCACTGTGGACTCTGAATGGTCCAAGCTCCTGCATTGCTCCATAGGCAAGAGAAGAGCAACCAGGACCTGCAAAAAGATCCATGTCAGAGTAAAACAATCAATAGAGTTTGGTAGTATGAACTAATTTTTACAGAATTATTTCATAATAGTCCTTCATGTATGTTTTTTATATCTCTTTGTTCCTTATTCTTCTAATTGTTCATTTTAGTCTTTCACGTTTTTGTTTTTTTATCATGTTGGTCCAATTTAAATTGATCAACGGACATTTTTAAATGCGTCTTATGTTACCACACTTGAGTCAGTTGATTTGATCACTCAAATTGGTAATTTGTGTCATTTTCATTTATCAAGTTTACAATTTGCATTACGTTTAGTCACTTGAGTTTTCAAAGAATGCTCCTCAAGCGTGGTTTTATAAAACATTCGTGACCACCTTCATTAATCAATTTTAAGACGTTATTTTTTTGTTTGATCAAATCAGCCAAATCCTAATACTATGGTGAAATGAAATTCTTCAAACAATCAGAAGCATCATAAACAATGTTAGCTCTCTTGATATGATGCGTGTGTGTGTGAGAGAGAGAGGGAGAGAGAAGTAAGTAAATAAGTCGAGAATATCAAACACTATAGGTCAGATTGTTGAGATTTAGTTGGGATATCCTCCTTACTCATAGTAGAACTTAACGTTAGGAAACTAGTTGTGTTTGTTGAGATTTAGTTGGGATATCTTCTTCGTATGTTTTGAACTTTATTGTAATGTCTCGTTTTTCAAAATAAAATGCCTTTACTTACCAAAAAAACTCAGAAGCTACTACATGAACTAGTGATATTGACATTATCAGAAAAACAACTCAAAATGAGATTCAATACCTCCATTGAGCCAAAGAAGAAGAGGCAAAGACTGCTTAGAATGCTGAGCTTCAGCAAAGTAATAATAAAATGCCCGACCGGCCGATTCATCGATGGTGACATACCCACCATACTGGGTGAACCCAACAGCTGGTTGCCCAGGCAATTTCTCAATTCTGTCTCTCTCTTGCAATCCCACCTGAGAAAGAACTTTGGCTCCATGTACAAGAGAAATGGGCTCAAAATGGCTTTTGTCAATAGTGGAGTGTTTGTTGAGCTTGGCCTTGAAGAGGTTGTCAAGAGCTTCACCTTGCCTCTTCCCTTGGCTTTGAGGTAGAAAACTTGAAAGGAAGAGAAAGAAGAAAAGAAGAACCAAACAGGCCTTAGTCTCCATTCTTTCTCTTTCTGTGCAGATACTTTTGGGAAGAGAAAGGGTGAGCCTTAGAGAGTTTAGTTCCACATTGCCTGCCTTTTATATCATTGCTTCGGAGAGTGCTTGTTTTACACGTGTACAAATCTAAACAACTTGAGATACTCTAGTACACTTTATCGTAATTTCACTTTAAGAGTATGTTTGAGGAGACGTCATTCGATAAGTAGGATCAGATAAATCAAATTCAAATTGCACAACAATTTCCCCTTTCTATGGACAAGTAGAATATTCTATTTGACCAATTGCTTAGTCCCAAAACCTAATACTGAGGAGCTGTAATTTGGAGATACTTGTGGCTTTGTATAACCATTACTTACTAAACTTGTATGCATATATATATTTAGTAGATAGCAATGAAAAGTATAAACAAATAAAAGGATATATATATATATATATATATATATATATATATATATACATACACACACATACACACATTAATAATGCGTCATGTGCATTGCATGTAAAAATTTTTATTAAAATATTTGACAAAATACATAAAACTCTAAGGATTAATAGCATTTTTGATCCGTAAAATATGTATTTTTTTTTTCAGTTTAATCCTCATTGTATCAATTTAGTCCCTAAAGTACTCAACTCCTATCGTTTTGATCACTACATAGATGAACCGTTTAGTTTTTAATAGAATGATCATGTGTTGTACACATGATACCATCTACAAAAATAGTAATGACATATAATCACTTTCGTCAAAAAACTTGACGAATTGTCTGATTAAGGACCAAGTGACATGAATTGAATACTTTAGGGATAAAATTGATACAATGAGGGTTAAGCTGTCAAAAAATATATACTTTAGAGACTAAAAGTGTTATTAATCCAAAATTTAATTATATAACTAAATTAAATATTATCTCATTTTTATCATGCTTAAATTGTTTGTATTGTGGATGAAGAGAGAAAGATACATATATTAATTTTTTTGGCCCCGAAGATAATATTATATAAATGAAGTTGTTGATGTGTATTAATATTGAGGTTTTGAAAAAAAAAAGAATAATTTTTTTATATATAATGTTAAGAGTAACATGACCATCTAAAAGTTTTGTAAAAATAGAGATTTACATGATATGTTAGGTGTTAATTTGTTATTTAAGTATAGAGGAATATAATGGTAATCTACATATTTAAATGAGGACATGTTAGCCTTTATAATTTTTTATGAGGGCAAAATAATGAATTAAAATTTTTTCATATGAAATACTTTTATTAGTAATATATATATATATATATATATANTCTAAGCCTTACAAACCAAGTTCTAGTTTTCCACCCAAAAACCTTCCTTCCAAAGGCTCCTCCAAGGGGAGTATTTATAGGCAAGGAGGAAGAAGGGGGGGGGGGGGGGGGGGGGGGGGGGGAGGGAGGTTAAGGCTTCCAATTTTTTTAAAAAAATTAGGGAATAATGTGATAATCTATATATATTGCAATAATACGTGCTGAAAGGCATGATAAAATAAAAAAATTCTAGCATTCAAAAAATAGATCTCATTATATCAAATTTAAAACTAATTTCTTTGCTTACATCATTTCAAATTAATTTCTACCGATTATTTTCTTAAAAATAGAATCAAAATTTTCTCAAAATATATAATTTGACAAATTTTTTTTAACATGTGTACACTATCGTGTATTGATAATATATGAAATAAAAGTTAAGTTAAACTAAAAATTAACTAAATATTAAATGATTGTACATGTGATAGGATTGAATAATGTGATATTTTTAGAGAAAAAAAAATGTATAAGAGATAAAAGTTCAACTTGCTAACATTTATTATATAGAGTATGCGGAATCAATAATGCTATACTGACCAAATTTTGAAATTAAATTTAGAGCTCAAATGACATGACACATGACTATTTGGAGTTTTTATTGGAGCTCAAATGACATGACACCAAATAAATAAGGCTAAGTCAGCTGCCATGTCATTTAAACTTTAAATTAAGTCCCAAAATTTAGTAAGTGTTGCATGCGGGATAGGGGATCTCTTTTTAAAAGGAAAGACAGTTGGCAAATGGGTTAGAATAATAGTGGGTGGGGGGGGGGGGGGGGGGAG